ATTCATTTTTGGCTGATCTATGACAAATTTTAAAGGTGCAGTCACCTCTGTTTACGTTCATCTCACATGAAGACAAATCCATTGCCTTTCAACTTGTATAAAGACTTTGCGTTTCTACTACATGTACCAAACAGTTGATATACTGTGTTTATTAATGAATAACAGTTATATGTTCATAGGTTGGGTGAACATTTCGATATTTTCCTAGATTGCATTGCAAGACTGAAAATTATGAGAAATGTTCAGCTCGTGGATGTTTTCCTTAAAAAGACGAGCTCTCCAATTAGATTATGTTTGTTACATGTATGTATGTAATCATAATGGATGCTGTATTGCAACGCCCAATTAAAAAGTTTAAGGACGTTTGTGACGTTACAAATGAAAATGTTAGTTGCTTTTTTTTTTATTTCATCACCTTAATACCGACTCTCTGATTGGTCATTTTAGTGTAGACATGAACAAGTGTTATTTGAGAATATTTTTAACCGGTAAAAATGTAACAGAATTATATTTATGTATTTGGTGTAATATACATACGGATTCTAATGCAGTGAGAAATGTGTTGGTGGTACATAAACTGAACTGTGACGAACAACGTAAAGTTTCTAAGTTAAGATGTGTTGCTGCAGTGTCTGTATGTTTTTCATTGAATGGAAGGCTGATAAGCAGAAACAACATAAAACAAACTCAGAATAAATGATGTACTCGGTATATGAAATTTACTTGTTTACGTTGATGTACACAGCATGCAATTATGTACGGATTTACTCAGCTTAGCTGGTATACTAAGCAGAGCTAATGTTCCTAGTATAGAGATGTGCTCAGGAGAGCTGGAGTACTCATTATGGCTGTTTTGCTTAGTATAAATGGTGTTCTCAGCAGAGCTGGTGTACTCAAAAGAGCTAATGTTCCCAGTACAGCTGGTGTACTCAGTAAAGCCTCAGTATAGCTGGTGAACCCAATAGAGCTAATGTTCCCAGTACAGCTGATGTACTCAGTATTGCTGATGAACTCAGTATTGCTGATGAACTCAGTAAACCATCAGTATAGCTGGTGTACCCAATAGAGCTAATGTTCCCAGTACAGCTAGTCTTAGTATAGCTGGTGTACCCAATAGAGCTAATGTTCCAAGTACAGCTGATGTACTCAGTAATGCCTCAGTATTGCTGGTGTACTCAGTAAAGCCTCAGTATAGCTGGTGTACCCAATAGAGCTAATGTTCCCAGTACAGCTGATGTACTCAGTATTGCTGATGTACTCAGTAAAGCCTTAGTATAGCTGGTGTACTCAAAAGAGCTAATGTTCCCAGTACAGCTGATGTACTCAGTAAAGCCTCAGTACAGCTGATGTACTCAGTATTGCTGATGAACTCAGTAAAGCCTCAGTATAGCCGGTGTACTCAAAAGAGCTAATGTTCCCAGTACAGCTGATGTACTCAGTATTGCTGATGTACTCAGTAAAGCCTCAGTATAGCTGGTGTACTCAATAGAGCTTATGTTCCCAGTACAGCTGATGTACTCAGTAAAGCCTCAGTACAGCTGATGTACTCAGTATTGCTGATGTACTCAGTAAAGCCTCAGTATAGCTGGTGTACTCAATAGAGCTTATGTTCCCAGTACAGCTGATGTACTCAGTAAAGCCTCAGTACAGCTGATGTACTCAGTATTGCTGATGTACTCAGTAAAGCCTCAGTATAGCTGGTGTACTCAATAGAGCTTATGTTCCCAGTACAGCTGATGTACTCAGTAAAGCCTCAGTACAGCTGATGTACTCAGTATTGCTGATGTACTCAGTAAAGCCTCAGTATAGCTGGTGTACTCAATAGAGCTTATGTTCCCAGTACAGCTGATGTACTCAGTAAAGCCTCAGTACAGCTGATGTACTCAGTATTGCTGATGTACCCAATAGAGTTAATGTTCCCAGTAAAGATCTATGCTTATAGTTGGTATACTGAACATAGCTAATGTTCCTAGAATATAATTGTGCCCAGTAAAGCTTGTGTACTCAGTAAGGCTGTTTTGCTCAGTATAGTTAGTGTACTCATTAGAGCTTGTGTACTCAGTATGACTGTTTTGCTCAGTATAGATAGTGTACTCATTAGAGCTTGCGTTCTCAATATGACTGTTTTGCTCAGTATAGATAGTGTACTCATTAGAGATTTGTACTGAGCAGAGCTACTGTTCCTAGTTTATAATTGTGCTAGGTAAAGCTGGTGTACTCAGTAGAGATAATGTTCTCAGTATAGAGCTTTGCTCAGTACATCTGACGTACTCCGTTGATGTTTTCACTATAAATGATGTGTTCAGCGATGCCGATGGCGGTAAGCTTTTTAAACATAATGATTGGCATTTAATTCTGTATACTTGACAACATTTGGTCGGATATGAAGGTGACTCAGTGAATCTGACAATATCGACATCAACGTGGGCTTGGAACAATGATTCAGATTGGACAATTGGTCGATTTAGACAATGTGCTAACAAACCTGAAGCTACTAACGTCAATGAGCAAGTGCAGTACTTTGTTGGAAATGACAGTGAATAAAAAACGTGATTCAAGACAGAGAAAAAACATGTTTGACCAACAAATCATGTCGGCTTCTATAGGATGGTCTGACCTAGGTGTCGGTAATGTCAGGTGGTGGTGGTGTAGATAATGATGAGTTTAAGCATTGTACACTGGGTATGTAAAGTACAATGATAACACATACCGATTATTGGTAATTTTGTAGTGATTATCTGTGAACTTATCCATTTATTGTTCCCTTGCACACTTTTAAAACGTTCAGTGAAATTGCTAGCCATTGGGGGAATTCTGGACAGTTTCCGCCATGCATGGAATTTCGATATGTCATTTGATTAAGGTATGCGGGAAATTCTCTTCAAATCAATAGGACACGTGACTAAATAGTTTTGTACATTATCGATCTGCACCACCGACGTTGTTCAGTATGAAGTATTTTGTGCGTACGTCGCTAATTATTGCGATTCCGTTCAATTATATCCCGATATTTGTACATTTCAATAAGCTATTTGCCTGCTATTTACCTTAATTATAACACATTCTCTGACAATGCAATGTACATGAGTAAGGCACGGAGGGTTTCCAAGTATAATTGTATAGCAGTGTTAGGGCCTGTTATGATTTAACAATGGGGAACACGGGGAATGGGATGTTCTGAAAATATAAAGTACGTGCTAATGAGTTCAATGTCGTCAAACATAAAAAAATGGAGTTCCCAATTGTCCATCAAAATTGCAGTTGATCCGGGATCGGTAACTGTAGTGGTGTGTTCGGCTAATAATTTTCCACCCCAACACCGCTTAATACATATTTCAGGGTTACGCGTTATACGTACATTATGTATGTATATATGTCCCATTTGTCAAGTGGACAGAGTTTTTTTTACGGTTTCTCGATGAATATTCAATTTGAACTCTCACACAAGTATATACCTGATTTTATTACTTACACCTAGCTGCGCTCCATACACAATTATAATAAAAAGTGCGGCTCGAAGAAAACGTATCTGTTTAAAATTGGTCAAGCTTTGCTCACGACGTCACCAACAATGGCATACGGTGGACGAGACATTTGGGCAAGTTGTATTAGTAATTCGAGTATTTTCAATCTAAATTAGAGTGTCTGGGTCTCCTGGAGTGTCTCGGCGAGAGTGATAAAACAAGGTGTACCTTATTATTCAATGAATATTGGTGATTAATTTCTAACCAGTCAATACATGAGAGAGTGGAAATTGGATATTCTAGCAATTACTGAGTATGTTAAACAATGTAGTGAACTCGTGTAAGATGAAATGTGTTTATTATATGACAAAGTCGACAGAAGAGAAGTTGGAAAAAAACGGCATAAATACCATATAAAATAGAACTGCCTCACACGTGTCAACTGGGTCTCTTTAAATAATACATCTCGCCCTATACACTACAGCAGTTTATAACGACTTCCTAATTTATATACCCCACAGGATATTTACATTTAGCAATACACTAATGCATGTAAAGTGTTTCATTTTTTGTTAGCTGGTTTAAGTCATTAACTCATGTTTTATCATTAAACTATTTTTATTACCCTTTTCCCGTTAAATATTTTTCGAATAATCTTCTGTCACGACCGGTTCGTAGACACCCTGCTTTAGGGGGTTACGTATTCGAGGGTAGGTATACCTCGCTTTTGTTCTTTTGCCTATAGTTGCCTTTTAATTCGATTTAACCCAAGGAACCTACACGTTTGGTTGACTTAAGACAGGGGACTAGCCTCGAGTTGTTCGCAGGGACGTTCCTGTTTGAACAGGAATGCTTGGGTTTAATGTTACCGTTCATATAGATTTAAACACAGGCGTTTATTTTATATATGTACATTTCGAATAAAGCCGTCTCATTGAAATCGACTCCGCCTACTGTGCTGTCATTCACAGGGGTCGTTAATTCAATTAGATAAATTTATATATAACATTGAACTAACAAATTATTTAACCTTATATTTTCGTATATATATTGTGTATGGCGAGAATAATTCATCTTGTGGACGTGATATGTGTCTGCCATGAACCTTAGTGAAATACAGGTGACAACTACCAGTCATGTTGATAACGTACTCGTAGAAACACTCGGCTAGGTAACCCCACGGAATAAGATAACGGAATTAGATTCCGTGGTAATACCAAATACTAACGAATACACTTTTAAATACTTCATTTCAAAGTGGGTTTGTATCGTCGATAAAGTGAATACAGCACAAGAGTTAACATGTATAGGTACTATATATTTTATATATAAAGTATACATTGTTTACAAGGTTGCCACTTGACAGCGGCGAGCATGGTCGATTCGACGTTTGTGTGGGTATTATCAAGATATCGGTGAAGTTATCAGGTAGCTTCTAACGTTGAATACACACACACAGCCATACCTGTCAAGTTAAGGGCATTTCATAAAATATATCATTTAAAGGACGGGACAGTATAACATTTTTAAACTTACCTGTAATTAAAACTATCTGTATATCGCCAGGTAAATGTAGTTGCCGTAGAGACGGAAAGGGTACTATCCACTCTTCCATTTTGTTAGATAACTTCCCAAGGTCCCTTTTAAGTTGGGAACGGTTCCGACATTAAGTGACTTCTGTGACGTTATCTGTGTACGGTGTCGGTGGATCCTAACAGGCATGGCTGGTCACATATATACACTCCTAAGGACTGTGTATTGGGGAGGTAAAGTCTATCGATACGGGTATGTGTGGAGCACACACACAAGGCTACATACCCACACAATGACGTGTAGGAACGCTCGGCTTACCACCAATGACACACGGCTCGCGCAGATCAACGCAATTGTTTAGTAGATTTTGACCCCAACTTCTACATAATCCGCTTGGCAATCATCTCCATTAAAATCTGTAAGGCTTTTCTAAGGTTTCGAAACATGATTTAATTAGGGATTTATTTTTCAAGCTGTAACAATAGAAATCAAATTGAGTCCCCTTAAAGGGCCTAAAAAAAAGCATTGATCCAAAGAAATATAATACATTGTTATGGAATAATAAATCCCTTTTCAATATCAAATTAGTAATTTGTCTCATTATGCTGGTCTTTGAATACACAGGGCTCGCTTTGGTTTGTGTGTAAACCATTGGTGAAGTTATACCATTGAATGTTGAGCGTCTACACACGCTATACACGTCTACACGTTGGCCATTCTCAACACTGACGTCCATGGACCCTGACGAAATCGTCGCCATTGACGGCGCACGAGACGAGCATGCTCTTCATCAGCAATACACCTTTTTTTCTAAATCAGGAATACCACAATTTTAAAAGTTACTTAAATGCAGAGTTATCATTGTACTAGTTACGAAAGACTGCACAGTGTCCATTAACACAGCTAACTATGTCCAGCTAAGTTAACATAAAGGTGCTAGTTGGGATCTGTAAAAGAGGTTAGAGTTATAATTAATTGATGTGCTTTGTACAAATGTTTGTTATAAATTGTTTTCGTGCAATAATTGGTGTTACCTGAAATATGTAAAATAACAATTTGTTATGACATCAATGATTCCTCAGACAAGGTAGTGTAACATCCTTGAACAAACCAATATCTAAATATATTTTCAAATGTCATATAACTATTGTCTTTATCCGAGTCTAACACTGGAATAAAAGTTTCACAGCTGCCGATGAGATAGTCAACACATCCACTAACCCCAATATCGAACCAGAAACCCCCCACATATAAGATATTTAAATGGAACATACATTTTCTCGTATTAATTATTTTACTGGTTTAAGAGAGTAATTGCGTTACAAAATGTACATATCATTCTGCGGAACGTCAGAGCTAAGGTCATTCAAATCACAACACGTAAGAGTAAGGGAGAGAACCCCTATTGTGTACAGAATGAGTACGAGGGGAGGTAACTGAGATCAGAAACGTGTATTAACTTATCTGCATCTCCTGGTTTCAGTCAAAGTCGCTCGGAACCAGGAGAAAAAAAAGATGCTTATATTATTTCGCTCATTAAATTCCATCACGCAGACGTCAAATTTCCAACGCTCTGCACGCTTGATACGGGTTATTTTGTGACCCCTATTACAAGTCGGTAAATATCATGCTTACCAATTTGTTGCACCATGGATATAGTCTAAAGTACACCAGCATAAACAGAGATGTAATATGTATTTAGGAATTAAAGTACCCATTTGTTAACGTTATGATTCGTTGTGAAACTGTCACTAATCAACATGTTTTACCAGCGTCAACAATGCATTGCAATACAAATGTATGGCAACTCTAACTCTAAAAAATGTAGATCTCAGAAAACAGTTAACAGTCGAAATGCATCAACGTCTAGACATAAAACGACTGCATAGGACATTCTCGTGAGTCAAATTAACCTTTCGGTATACCAACAACTACGTTTTTCAGGTTCAGGGAATGTTCTATGCTATTTTAAACGAGGATACAGTGGAGCAGCGCCAATTTACATCTTGAGTCAACCCGAGGAAACCCCCATAAAACACAATCGAACGTTCATACTTAATCATCTTGATCAAACATACATAAATTAGCTGGGATATCGGTTCTATTTTTAGAATAACTTTGGTCGCCGCACATGTAGCTATGTATATCGACAGTGTGTACCATACAGGCCAAGATACAGATACAGGTAAGATGTGTCAAGGTTTGCTTAAATACTGACTCCAGGTATAAATGAAAGTGTATGACATTTTTTGGCTTTTAAAACTGTACACATATACATGTGTTTTACAGTTATGTACAACACATAAAAGAAACATTTACAGATAAATAGCATTTTATATACTGTATAGAGTGTGAGGTCATCAATTAGAACATGCAACATTTGTCCATTCTGTCGTGAAAAGTAGTGCGTATGACCGTGTGGTGGCATATGTCTTAACGTATGAATCTGTGTATTATTTGTATGAAGTACAATATTGTGTGAGGGTATAAACAGGGTATGATTATATATTGAGTGGTTTTTCTTGGTGCTTTGGGCTTAGCATTCGTGTGCCATTGTATGCATGCGTGCTGGAGGGCATCCTCGATATCCACGGGTTACGCTCACTTTCGCTCACTTTCGCTCTACGAAAGTTAGCGTAACCCCTGGATGACTTCACTTTATTATGTCAAATGCACCCAGCACAGGATTGCATCTGGTTACATTATACTGACAACAAAACCAGTCCTTTGACCGACTACCTGTTATAGTGGAAAGTACGTAATGGTTGACCCATTTAGGACGATACAAGTTTTTGCAGTACGTTCTCTTCATCTCTAGGATATGTAAATCGAAGGCTCTGGAAGCGCCACCTCATACAAATGTTACGAGTAGCCTAGTTCGATTTTTGGATGTACATCAAATGAATAGCGCGGCACCGTAACGGTACATTGACCAGCTTTGAAGTCGGATATCTTTCAAAGGACAAATATCAGACAGGCGATTTGCCAGGTTTTCATACATGAAACCAGTCAGATAGCAAAACCACGTGCCTTCGTTTTCGTCATGATATATTCCAGGGGTGCAGATAACGTAAATGAGCGTAACCCCTGGAATTTTACTTCTTTATTGTCTCAAAGTATAAATGATTAGCAATGACGTTTTAAGGTACACAGTTATGTGCATCACGCAAACAAGAGGTCTACAAATACAGAGTTTGTTGTCTAAATGTAGAGTGAATGGTCAAGAATCAGAACAACGATCAAGAATAAGAACAATCGACATTTGTTGGTATTGTCTTCAAGAATACAACCATATTGCTCGCGTTTATTGTAACGTACGACTTTGTGAGTGCATGTTGTGACTGACGTACGACTGTGTGAGTGTATGTTGTGACGTCTTAATGTGAGAGGTATTTGTTATGCAACGTGACATTAGACAGTGGGTGAACCTTTTATCTGTGTAGGTGTAAAACCGGTACTTCTGTTCATATTTACAAGAATTAAGGTCGTCACTCACGTTATTATTTCTACCGGTAGGTATTCTTCCGAGATCACGGGAACAAGTCGGGACAGATACAGGTAAGGTGCGACACATTTTGCTGTAATGCTATACCACAAAGTATTAAAGAGAAGCAACGGTATTTTAAGACATTTAGAACTCTGCATATATAGAAGACTCGTCTACTGATAAACTGTATCTAGTGTATTATGTAATGTAGAGTATGAAGTCAAGATTCAGAACAAAGGTAAAAAATCAGAACAAAGGTAAAAAATCAGAACAAAGGTCAATAATCAGAACAAAGGTAAAAAATCAGAACAAAGGTCAATAATCAGAACAAAGGTCAAGAATCAGAACATACAACATTTGTCAATTCTGTTGTGAAGCATAGAATGTGAGAGGGTGATTTTGTGTGTAAAGTCTGTTAGAGTATACTGTAAAATCAAATACTCTATATACTAACACTGGTATAACGATATTATAAATGTTTCTTACATTTGTTCTGTCGGTCACTTTCAGGGCTATTCTTATGACGTCGAAAGTCAGTTTTGCAAGCTTTCATATTTTATTTTGCACCGAGGTTATTCATAAAATTGAAGACGGCATCTCTTTCTTTATTACTTCGAATTTGTTGTTGTTGTTTGAATCAGGTTCTAACGTCGAAAATGGCTGACAACTAGGAGTTGCTGTACTGGTCTTTGGCCGGAAGGGGTGAATTCGTGCGAGTAATATTTGTGGAGGCTGGGGTTGAATTCAAAGATACTGATGATAGGCAGGTTGTAGCCGAAAAGGTGAAGGAGGGTAAGCTAGGAGGATTCCCGGTGATGTTTCCACCTGTCATATGTAATGGTAAGTGGCCATTTCTCCTGTATAACGGTTATCTATCAATATTTTCTGTATAACGGTAAGAGTAATACGTCATGTTCTTTGTAAATTGTAAGATTAATTTCTCAGAATGAGTTTGATGATGATAGGGATAGCACCTAAAGACTTCGGCATTATAACCTCCTGTGTTATATAATGTGTATGTCACCATTTCTCCTTGGTACTCATTGTCCTTATAGAGATTAGACTTCATTAAGAAAGGATTACCTCACGTATACCTGTAGCACTCTCATTGTTAGACTTTGTCAATTTTAATTCCTACACCTGGAACAAAATACGATTGCTTCCAAAAACCGTAAATTAAAGAAGTAATTTCTAAATGTTACGTTTTACCGAATTCTACAAAATTATCTTACAATTCTTTTCTTCCTTTCTAATTGTTACAAGCGATTTCCATCTTTCTCAAACACCCACTATATGCAAATACCTGGGCAAGAAGTTTGGGTTGTACCCTGATAATGAGGTAGACGAGTGGCATGCTGATCAGATCAACACAACAATTCACGACTACATTGCGGAAGGTAGATAACACATGTTTATCCACTGTTACAGAGTGATGTCTCTTCTATTGTATTCTTCATTCTGTTTGTCCAGCCCTATATATATGTACATTGTAGTAACTCATAGCACTACTTAGAAGTGTGAACCTCAGAAGTTGTGATGTTTTCAAGCGGGGCCAGTTTGCATACATCAAAAGAGTAAGCGTTTAGTTAAATGATATACCATGTTAGATACCCGCATCGAGAGAAAGTTTGCTACTTTATACTTTAGTTGCAATCTTCATGAAACAGTTCTCATGCTCAAGCATGGATATTTTGCTCAAACCGACTCCCTGTTAACTCAGTTAAATCATATAAAACAACAAATAGGTCAAATGTAAACATTGGCTTTAAGTCTCTTCCAATTATTTTCAAATCTTTTTTTGTTAATTTATTACCGGAATGATAAATTAGGCTTGAGGTTAAGAGCGCTGTTACTTAAAAATAAAATGTGCATTTTGAATGGCGGTGAGGCGTCTGTGTTAATATTGATATGTACGCTTTACAATGTTTTGATTTCTACTGATGAACTGATGAACACGATTTTGTACAGGAAGACTGTGTTTCCATGGTATCAACCCTACCATGACGTATTACAACCAGAAAGAAGAAACTAAACCGTACATTGAACGATTTGTCGCGGAGAGAATTCCAAAATGGCTCCAGCATTTCGAAGATGTGCTTCTGGCCAACAGCGGGGGAAAGGGGTAGGTGTTTCAGAGACCTGAAAGAAAACACATAAGACTGTAAATACGAAGTAAAATATCAGATGATCAGTTGTGGTGGGGACAAACATTCCTTGTCAATGGTTTGGCTCGGTTTTATTTGTTTAACTAATTTTCTATTAACAGTTAAGGTCATTTAAGGACGTGACTCCGTGTGTGCGTGCATGTGTGCTGGAGGCGGTATGTTGGTGTATTTGCCTCCTTGCATTAGTTAGGGTCTGATGCCGACTTTAGAAAGCTATCTCACTAAAATGCCATGTAAAAGGCACCTATCACAACATTCCACCCGATCACATTATACTGAAAATGGGTAAACCAGTTGCTGCGAATATCCTAAATGATGCACGTTAAGCTGGTAATAAAACTTACCAATTCAAAGGACTTTGGTCTGTACCGGCATGGGGACGAAACCCATTGCATTCCTCACTTGGGCAAACGTTCGACACCAAGTCAAAAGCGAGACATTGTTCAGCCACGGAAAGTGGCGTAAATATAAACGATTACCCATGATGCAAAAATGAGAGTTTTCGAGTAGAATAATAACATTTATCTTGTCTGATATGTTATTGTACAAAGAAACTGATCTTAAATAATTGTTAAGACAGTCAATCGACTTGGTTGATTGGTAGACGGGTTAATCGCCTACATGACTCCACCCATGCGGGTTTCGACTCACTGACGAAGGTCGGTGTTCTGTCTGCGTTTCAATCAAATGACCTGTGTAATTTTCCTTTTAAACAGCTTCATTTTTGGGAACAACTTGACTTATGTGGACCTGGGCTTAATGCACGCTTTGAGGGCCACAGAATCTCAGTTTCCAGACGCTTGGAATAATGCCGACTACATACCAACTTTGAAGAGTTTCAAGGACAGAATGTGTTCCCGGCCACGATTGGCTGCTTATTTTAAATCGGACAAATGTCGTGCTTTCGAAGGCAATAGTATGATGTAAATTGTCACAGAAAATCATCGAGTCAGTGCCATGTTTTAACAGTGTAGATGTGTGTTTGATGTTTATACAATTTATTTTAATTTCTTATCAAGAACAATGGGTGCATCAGTCTTTAAAACTGCTTTCCGGGGATATAAATAAAAACAAATGGACAGAACCAGACCGAAATTCGACAGCTCAGTTTACACCTAGGGAGGATTCCATAAACAGACAGCAACCTTCACCTGTCGTGTGCCTATACTTCCTCTTACCTGCCATAACATGTTCCCACTGTTGGACATATTTACTATCGATCGTATCTTTATGTATTATTTACACATAAGACTTTCAATTAAAACAAATAAACACGGTACAGTATTATGTGTTAGATATTTTCCCAATTAACTAATGAAATGATGGAATACTGTTAACTCTAATTTACATTAAAAAAATAAAACATTGATTTTTACGACTGTTTCATGTATCATTATCAATGCGGATGATTTGATGTACTTGTTTGTCGCCTCAAAAGATTTCTATCCAGGATACCAACACTGAGTATAGGATATCTCTTGATGAACGTGGAGTTCTAATTGATAATAAACAACAGCAGGGTATCATTTATAAATGTTATTCTGAGGTGAAAACACTGTATCGGTGTGATAACGTCAATACAAATGTCTATGTAGTAACGCTATCGGCCCATTGACTTAATTTCCTTATTCTCAATTAATGGATATGCATATTAATTATGTTTAGTGCAATGCATAGGATAAAAATGATTTAATAACCATGTGTAAATATATTATCCCTGACAGTACAAACAGCATCACACATGCGTGTTTCTCTCATTTGACGTCTCAGACTGCACAAGTGCATTGTGCATATGGATACATTTCACCAGGGCTTTAACCTTGGTGAGGTAAGTTAACTAACGAAATAAACGAATTATATTTGTGACGTCAGATGACCACCTAAACTTGACCTCTTTTGCAAACTGTTAGCCATCGTTACCACCAAGTAATTTATATATAAATGGAACAGTGTTTGGTAGTGAGGTACCCATCAGTATTGGTCTTCAAGTAAATGTCGAGACACAAAGTTGTTAAAAAGTAGACTTTAATTTCAAATTATAAACAAGTTATTGATGATTCGATGAGAAGAATCCAACAGAACAAAGCTTTTTGTAGCTAGATGTCAACACATACAATCTTGAGCAATTTCGGTGCAAGTCCTGTTACAAACTATCGTGATTCCTGTTCTTCTACCTTAGTCTAATCTCCAGATACAGATGTGAGCAAATTCAGTTGTTACACGGCAGCTCTCCGAGATACTTTGCTTTCGAGCAAAGTAAAGTTGGACAGTTATTCGTTATTCGTTATCCGTTTACTTTACAGTCATTCGTTATTCGTTAACTTTACGTAGAAAGTGTATACATGTGGTATCACAGCAATAATTTACATCGTGTTAAATTACCACCTACAGATGTCCATTTTGAATGTTGATAGATTGTTATCGCCATTTTTCAGAAAGAACTGGGGTGTTTTTTCTTACGTTTAACACGAATGTTCTTATGGTCTGTAGTTACGCATATCGAATTTGGGATCTGACATGAAAACAAAGATGGCCGACAGGCGGCTAAATGTTTTAGATCACCTGGTCCGCAGCGTCCGTCCGGAGTCCGTCCGTCAATTTAGTACACTGTAACTAATCCGCATGTTTTACCAGCATCAACAATGTTGTATGGCAACTCTAACTCTAAAAAATGTAGATCTCAGAAAACAGTTGAGAGTCGAAATGCATCAACGTCTGGACATAAAACGACTGCATAGGGCATTCTCGTGAGTCAAATTAACCTTTCGGTATAGCAACAACTACGTTTTTCAGGTTCAGGGAATGTTCTATGCTATTTTAAACGAGGATATAGTGGAGCAGCGCCAATTTACATCTTGAGTCAACCCGAGGAAACCCTCATAAAACACTGTCGAACGTTCATACTTAATCATCTTGATCAAACATACATGAATTAGCTGGGATATCGGTTCTATTTTTAGAATAACTTTGGTCGCCGCACATGTAGCTATGTATATCGACAGTGTGTACCATACAGGCCAAAATACAGATACAGGTAAGATGTGTCTAGGTTTGCTTAAATACTGATTCCAGGTATAAATGAAAGTGTATGGCATTTTTTGGCTTTTAAAACTGTACACATATACATGTGTTTTACAGTTATGTACAACACATAAAAGAAACATTTACAGATAAATAGCATTTTATATACTGTATAGAGTGTGAGGTCATAAATTAGAACATGCAAAATTAGTCCATTCTGTCGTGAAAAGTAGTGCGTATGACCGTGTGGTGGCATGTCTTAACGTATGAATGTGCGAGGGTATTATTTTTATTAAGTACAATATTGTGTGAGGGTATAAACAGGGTATGATTGAATTTTGAGTGGTTTTTCTTGGTGTTTTGGGTTTAGCATCCGTGTGCCATTGTATGCATGCGTGCTGGAGGGCATCCTCGATATCCAGGGGTTACACTCACTTTCGCTCACTCGCTCATTTTCGCTCTACGAAAGTTAGCGTAACCCCTGGATGACTTCACTTGATTATTATGTCAAATGCACCCAGCACAGGATTGCATCTGGTTACATTATACTGACAACAAAACCAATCCTTTGACCGACTACCTGTTATAGTGGAGAGTACGTAATGGTTGACCCATTTAGGACGATACAAGTATTTGTTTTTAATTTTGCAGTACGTTCTCTTCATCTCTAGGATATGTAAATCGAAGGCTCTGAAAGCGCTACCTCATATAGATGATACGAGTAGCCTAGCTCGAATTTTGGATG